ATCGTTTTCACATCATGAGACTCCTGTTTGTTCAACGTTATCACCTTCTCTCACTCTCCATCTGCAGTTTTAAGTCTCTTCAAGCACCTAAATGGTGAGTTAGGCCAGGTATCTGTAGCTCTGAGGTTACTATGAACCAACGGAGGAATGTATCTTTATCTGTACATTTGAATACTCTTGTAGTCAAATTAAAAGACCAAAGAGCATTTTCAGTAAGAGGCATGTTTTTCTCTTTTTATCAACAGGCAATTCTGACTGCTCTCTCCAGTGCACTTACATGGAAACACAATTAGACATGGTGGATGAGAGGAAAGTGGGCACAACAGAGAAGTAAATAACATGTTCAACACCAAATGATTCCAGGAATGCACCTAACATGATAAAACAGTCATATAAAAAAATATTCCATATGCTGATTGTAACCAAGGATAACTCTGTCTCACACTTCAGTTGTGCATAAGTAATTATTGTAATTCTTGTTACTATACAGTCAAAATGACATTTACAAACATGAGATTCATTTGGCAGCAGCAGTATTTCTGTTCATGTGTGTCTGCCTGCGTATCATAAACCATCCATCATGTAAACAGTAAACTGATAATGTGCCATTTTTCATATCGCAGCAGCGCTTCTCATCTGCCTGGATTATATTTCTTCTCCTCTCAGCCTGTGTTACAATGAGGCTCTGTGCCTTGCTTATCAGCTCTGAACCACCGTGACAGACTGGAGCTGGGCTGCCCCAAAATGGTGGCATTTACCTCCCAAAAGCACAACTGGAAAAGTCATTTACACTGCAGGGTGAGGCATTTTCTGCTTCTCCCTTCCCCAACTGCGATTTTCTTTCTCTGGCAGCAGAAAATGATAGCCTGAATTGTGCGGCACTCTATGCTTATCTCTGTGGTGTCTGCCTTTTGTCTGGTCTGCCGTTTAAAATGGTTGGGCCTCGGGGAGAAATTTTAACAGGAAACAAGGAAACAGTTTCAACATCAGTTCATTCATATAGACTCAAATATTATCCAGCTATGAGATGAAGAAATTTCATTGTTGACAGGTTACGGAAGCCATCTTTGACCATCAAGTATTTGTGAGAAGCCACTAAATAAATGGCAAGGGAGCACGACAATGACGTTTCTAATCTGATGTCCACAATATAAACAAACTCACTTACACTGAAGGGTCATTAATTACCTGAGGTGTATCACGTCATTGCAGAATGCTGCGTTACAGCCCTCCTGACATAATCCAGATTACATGTCAGCGGGGAGCAGAGATTACTGCACCATCATGAGTGATTTAGGTATTATCGCACTGATGCAGCCCGAGTATTGCTTTTCTGCTGAGGGGATACCAAATGAAAACAGATGTGATGGTGTGAGAGAGGGTGAGAGCAGAGAGTTGGTGTTAAAATTGTTTGGTTTTGTGTTTGGGAGGGGGTTCAGTTTTGACTCCAGATTTCAATGGCAACCACTGCTGTAAATATGAGTTAATGAAAATCAATGCAAACAAGCCTCTTATAGTATGAGAAAACAATAATAACTTCCCTGTGTTGTCAGTTCATTGAAAGACCAATCAATCAATCTGAGATTGAAAGCAGTATTCACTCCTGTTCTTTGAATGTTGGCGGTGTTGCGGCTTATTATATTATATTAAATGATTTTAGGGGATCTAAAGGGGGTTTTATTAATTATACTGTATGTATTTAGAAATTGGGTTAAGGTAAGAAGAAGTGGTAGGATTCAGAATATCATTAGACTTTGACAGAAAGTACACAGAAAAAAAATTCCCTAATACTTTATATTTTCAGAGATTCCAATCCCCTCTACGGTCACTGACGATAGTTTGCTCACATTTCATGATGAAGCTCTTGAGATGAGGTCCAAAGTTCCAAATAAAAACCTGGTAATCTGATCTTTTTGTCAATATATCAAATTAATATTTCAAAAGTGAATAAAGAACTGTCATGCTCACCACTGGACTAATGAATTAGATTACACAAACCATATTTCGTATATATCTGTAGTGGCTCAGCTTTAACTTTTGACTCCAATGCCATCTCCATAAACTTACACTCCACAGTACACCGAGTGGACTGAACAATAAGCAATTCACCAACTTGATGGTCTGAACCACCATCATAAAACATCTTGGTCAGCAAAAGCATAATTTAATCTGCAAAAAATCCTCCATGTGACAGTGTGTGATATTATGTAATAATATGGGGGCTTGAAACCAGGCCTACGAGTTGACTTACTGCAGCCTACCCTGTCCTGTTTCCATCCATGATATAACATGGAAACAGCTGCCATAATATGTTAAACAACTGGCTGATAGTATTCTTCTCTTGTGTTTGTTCCAAGCTGACTACTGTCTGTGAGGAGCTATAATCAGCAGATCACATCTCTGGCCACCTGTTACCTCAGAGCCACAGGTGCCTTGAGGTGAGGAGGTAGTAAGAGCCAGTTTTTTTTTTTTTTTTTTTTTTTTTTGGCACGATTTGAGAAGCTCACCAGGAAGTAGCCTACACACAGTCACCTTCAATGTCTGTCAGTGCCTACACATTCAGACACAGAGAGATGCAAACACCTACAAGCATGCAAACCTACTGAAGCATTAATTGTAACACAGGTAAATTCAACAAGCTGTTTCTCTCATGAACAGAGGAGTGCAGTTATCTAAGGTCCAATCCCCGCAAATAGTAACTGTCCTTGTGTAAGACATTAAACCTGTAACTGCTCACTGACTGTGATAACACTGATTACAAGCAGTTAGTCTTATTTTAAGCTGTAGACACTCTTTGAGGACGTTTCAGACTGTGTCGCTGTCCATGGTATCTGTTTGTAGTTCCTCAATACAAACAGTAAATGAACGCAGAGAATGTTATGTTACAGTAGAAATACACTAAAATAGGAAGCAACAGCAGATGGGTTGCACTAATCTCCTCTAACTGTGAGGCTTTAACTACCCTTCCCATCGTGCCAATTACTGTACACTAGCAGGTTACTTACTCTTGGTGATCTTCTGTAGCCCAAGCACATCCTCGGGCGTTATTACGGTATTTCTGCGCAATTCTTCTTCGGTTGTAACTGGGATCCCCATGTCTGATGAGTTGCAGCCTTGCTGCACTTTCATGTCCGACAGAAGAGGGCTGATCGGTGTGCACCCTGACAGGAACTGAGGCTTTCTGATGCTCTCGGCGTCGTCGCCGCAGGAGCCGATTTACTTGCGTCGGAGCCTTGAGTGACGCGCTGCCTAATACAGCGTACAGCAAACAGGCTCTGTGCTGCTACAAGAATAACTCATTCTCCGTGCCTCCTCCCTTTCTCGATCCGGTAAAAGATAAAAATCAGCCCTCAGCTCCCTCCCTCCCTCCCTGAAGGCTCATCGGCTCTCTCACAAGCTATTTAATCCAAATCCTGTGGCTTTAAACCGACCAGTGGTGCGTGCCTGACGGTCTGCGCGCCTCGCCGTCTGCTCAGACACCAGCGGGTTTCACTCAGCAACAGTAACCCATTGCTCCATTGCTCAATACTGGTTTCCCTCCTCAGTCATGAACTGCCCCCCCCCCAGCAGAAGTTCTCTGGTCTCGAAAAAAACACTTGTAATAATAAGTTGTTTAGGTGAGCTGCTGTGTGAAAACTGAGGGCAGCGAAATCAGTATGTAGGCTGCTTATGTCACTGCCAAACGACTGTTCCTTTCTTTCAGAATAACACAGCTCCTCATTGTGTATCTCAGCTTCCACAAAAGCTAATGAAACATCTTCTTGAGGCTTGGCTCTGTAGTATTGCACGCTTAAACAGGTAAGTGTCAAGTGTTTTGTTTTTTTTGGTTTTTTATACAATAATCATTTTTTGGCACCCTGGGGGCAGCAGAACAACCTGCAAAATCTTTCTTTTTTTTTTGTATATTATCACATAAAGTCCCCACACCTGTTGGCAAACAATTACCCTGTTGGATACCCATTCAGCAGTCATTGAACAACTATTATTAATTTTGGCTCTTACCTGTTACTTAACATATAGTTATTTACTCCACTGTTGATGAAATACATAATAGATAATAGGCTATAGTGACCGGAGAGAAAGACCATTATGTCTTGAAGGAAAAACACAAAGAAACAGAGGAGATGAGACTGTTGTTCAGGTGTGATATTTTTATTTCATTTTTTTCCATTGGAAAGTTGCTTTCCAGATGCCAGCATCCCTGAGAAAGTGTAAAATGCAAATCTTCTGAACAGCCCCATGAGTGAGATGAAACAGGCCAGCCAAAAGATATTCACATCTGCATAACACAACCCTGCACAGCCACCTATCTTTCGTTTAATCACAGACTGGCCAGTGCCCTCCTTCAGTCACTGAGGTCAGCCTTTTGCTTTGTGATGAGAAGATAGCGCCTCCCTCTGCCTGGAAACCTAACTGCAGGGCATGTGCAGAGCTGAGAGCTGTCCAAGGTAGTACATTGTGAGGTGTGATATGATGGTCTATCCCTATACTCTCTAAAATCTGTGGATCACAGGAGAGGCAGAGCGCTTTGATGAACAGGCTTATTGGCATCATTTCAGCTTGAAACACATAGGCCAGTAAATAAAAATAAAAATAAAATCAAAGGTTTGTAGGTATGGTTGCAAGTAGCATTGAAACAAACTACTAAACACAAACTATTAACTTAAATCTACTAATCTCCTATGTTCCCCCTTTCATAAATATGATAAATCATATAATCTTTCTATGAGGTCTGTAGACAGAGAGCATTGCTACTGTTTTTACCAGTGTTACAGTAACTCTGGAAGTCTGTGACACTCAGAACTTCTCATCCCATTCAGAATCATTCACGATGGCACATACTCCCAAATCCTACCAGTAAAAGCAATAACAATATTCAAAAGCCGTTAGCTTGTGTGGCTAAGTGGCTATTGAGGAATTTCCAAGGGATGGTTAGCAGCATGGCAAGCCAGACCCCTTGCTATTCCCTCCTGTTAGCCCACAATCTGCTGGACTCCCCTCTATGCGGTCATCTCGAAGCAGCCCCTGCGGTGCGTCTGCATGTCTCTCACCCTGCGGATGGACTGGATCTGGGGGTGGTGGGCTCCCCACTCGTTCCAGTGCTTGAAAGGGCCCATTTCAAACACATACTGGTAGCCGCGGTAGCCAGGGTACTGGTAGCCCACCCAGCTTTGTGAGGAAGTAGAGAGAAGAGAGATGTAAACAACAAATCTGTAATAATGTTGACTAAAAGCTGTGTACTCTTTTAGTTTTCATTTAATTCTGATGAATATTTACACCTGCTCCTCTTCGTTAAGCTTTAACATATACTACTATTCCTCTGATACCAGTATTATTATGCAAGTGAAGTTTGATTTGAATTACCTTATTTCTCACTTATTCCTGTTGCTAACCTTGATAGATATTATTATACACTTCCAGTTGATTTTTGCTTAATGAAATAACATTTGTTTCTCATCTTAAGTCAGTTTCTTTCAGCTTTAGGCCACAACAGCCAATCAAAAACAACCCCACAACTAGGTGTGACTTACGTTCCACCAGTGACCTGAATGCTGGCAACACGGTCCTGGAAACCGTAAGACCACAGGCTGGGAATATCCTCATCGCACACCTCCATCTTACGACCCTCGAAGTTTGGACATTCATACAGGCAAATCTTGTGGTCCTGGGGGTCCTATAAGAAACATACATTGCTTTTCTATTTGTAACTGTTACCACTTTCCATACAGATACTGTAGATGTTGGTGGTGGTGTAGCTTGTGGTTCACTCCCTGTCCCAGATTTTAGCCAATAAAGAGATTTAAAACAACAAAGGTCCAGCCAGGATCACAAAGGTTATGCATGAATACACTTATTGTTATGTAATACTGATTATGAGTTTGAATAGAAATGTCATTTTAGAGACTCAGACCAAACCTCTGGTGGAAAGCGCTAAATTATCACATTGAAACATAGTGACACAGAAAATGTTAATAAAAATACTGGCAGTGGAGCGGTTCAATAAATACCTGTGTCACTACAACCATAAAAAGCACTTTCCTTTGTATCAGTAAAAGATGGATGAGAGGTGCAAATGGAGTTAAACAACAGAAATAAACATCAGTGGCAGCAATAAACAGGAATTACAGCACCAAAAAAAACCCAAGCTGACCCCAACTCACCATTCGGACGGGCCTGACGGACATGAAGCGGTCACACCTGTAGCTGTTGGACCAGGTGTCCCAGCGAGGGTACTCTCCCTTCTCCAGCATGAACATCTCACCAGTCATGTTCTGCTGCTCAAAACCCACCCAGCTGCACAGAGAGATATTTTACTTGTAATCAGTTAAGGAAAAGACATACATTGTTATAACACATATCTTGGATGGCAAATTTGGTGACTTACGGTCCACACTCCACTCTGATGGAGCCAATTCTTTCAAAACCCTTCTCACACAGGTTACGGTTCTCTCCAAACAGGTCCATCCTACGGCCTTGGAAGTTCTCATATTCATAGAGGTATATCTGAAAAGTAAAACAATCGGAATGCGTTTATTTCTGGAGTCAAGTATTTTCAATTCATAATTATTGTCAGTCGTTTTTAGGATTAGTTGAGTTAAAAAAAAAAAACAAACAAGGAAAAAAAAACCAGAAAGGTAGAGGTACCTTGTGGTTGCGCACTCCTATGGCAGAGTGGCTGCCAATGCTGCCTTGAGCACCTGAGTGAGACATGATCAGATCTAGAGAGAACAGAAACACAAAGTCAGCCAGCCATTTTCAGAGATCAGTGTGGGGCTATGAAGGGGTTAATTACTGTTTCTTCACATCTGGAATACAGCATGTACTGCAGTACACAAGGTGTGCCGTGTAAAATGATTCCTCATGTTGATAAGAGCCACTGGAAGGATGCTTCATTTGCCCAAGCCAAAGCCCTCAGCAAATGTCATGAACTGAAGTACAACTTGATATATAAATGTAATGAATGTCATTATTAAGATATTCACATCTCTAAAAGAGCCAAAATCAGCTTTTGCCTTAGAGTTAAAGGGGAATATTTTGGTTCTTGGACAGCAGTTCTTTGTACGTTCATGTTCACATAGCTTAAAAGTGACATCGGGAAAAAAATGGTTAGATGTACTTTTATTATATGATAGGCATACTATGAAGTTGGTCTTAAATTATACCCTCAAAGACAGTTTGAATGTGCAACCTGATGAAGGCTTTAAATAGTCAACTAACATCAAGTCAAGTTTCAGTCAGTTTCACCTTGGACCAACACACAGCATCACTGATGGTGCTCCATTGCACCCCAACAATGATGTCATGGTGTACTGACACACCCTAGAGTACACTTCTACATCACTGGAGCAAGGTGAGAGAGGAAATCAGCAAAAAGGCTTTTCAGGGAGTTTTAAGTTGCTCCTTAAGGTTAAAACATCTAGTAAATGTAGTCAACCATATTATTTTTCCTCTACAATGTAGAAGATTTCAATTTGAAAAGCCAAATGGGAAAAAAGCAGATTTCTACAGTAATGTACATGAAAGCATTTGTAGCAGAGTGTTGTTCTTTGAACATGATTGTGTTTCCAGTAAAATTGTAATTTTCTCAGTACATCCCCTGAAGTTTTGTCCTTTTCAGGAGAGCAAGAATACTCACTAACCAGCCACAAGACAATTCATCTGTTCAAGCCTTCCTTGTTCAGTTTTTTAAAAACAGTCCCTCCTCTTTCTCGTTAATTTTACCTTAGGGTGAACAACTGAACATGAGAGCAGCTCTAAAACATAAAATCATACCATGCTGCAGTTTATGTCAGTATTCTATCTACTCAGTCCAAAGTCAAGGTCTAAGAGGAGTCGATCCTTGCTTGGTTCTTTCAGTCCAAAGAATGAGCACATAGGAAAACCACAACATTCTTTCAGTTCTTAAAGAGTTAGAAGACCTTAGAGTGGGAACTTACAGTTACAATTGCAGGTTGAAACGGACCGACCTTTGAAGAGAGTGATGGACGCCGGCGTTGTGAGTGGGGATATATATATACATTCACATCCAGACCGAGTCTATACAGGCAGGATTCTGACTTCTCATTGGCTGTGAGCTGCTTGGAGCATGGTGCAGGGTTAAAGGTCACGCTGCTTATCTGTGCACAAGTCGTGCTGACTCGGCTGCCTGTTTTGTTGTCCAGCACCATTGTGGGGGGACCGGGGACAGTCACTGCCATCAGCAGAAAGTTTGCTTGCCTTTACACCCCACGCCCCCTCCACACACACGCACACACACACACACACACACACACACACACTCACACACACACAAATACACACACACAGTTACTCTTCCAGCCATCGCTCTCACGGCCTGTTCTTCACTTTCTATCGAAATAATTTTTCTATTTTTTTCTTGCTTCCCTTTTGTTCTGTTCCCCGGTTTCTGTGCGATCTGTTTTGTCTTTCACCTCAATATTCTCTCTCTTTCTCTTGATCCTTGGTGCAGCCGGCCCCAAGCCTTTGAGCCCTGTGTGTGTAATGTGCTGACTGCAGGAACGGCATCCATCTCTCTATTGTTTAGGCAGGCGAGTGCTCAACACTCTATTACGTATTATGGGCTGTATCCATACATACAAATCTCACACAAACCCACCAACACACTCGTATCATATGCGTGTGTGTGTGTGTGTGTGTGTGCATGCCCAATGTCATTCATACACACTGCCAGATTTTTTTCTTGTTATGAAAACAAGTAATAAAAAGGCCACAAATAACTTTAATATAAGCAAAACTATGTAAGGAAAACAAAATATTCCAATTTTGTTATGTTTTGTTATATTCCAATTTTGCATCTCAATTTTATAGGTAGAGTGAATGGATATTTGTGCTAATGATCTTTCAAATGCTTGCAGACAGATCTCTTTTAGAATATTATGATTTTGCAATTTTAATGATTTAACATAACTGTCAGGCAGTGGTGAAAGGTCTGTGGGCAAATATTCACAGTATGAGCCTTTGAAATGAATTATTAGAGCATGAAAAAAGAACCCGTGGGAAATGTCATCTTTTGTTTTTGCCAGTACAAAGACAATATCTGTGAGACTAAGACAACACCTCTGGCGTCTGGTCTATTTTAGACATTTTTCAGAGACAATCAGATCAGATTCTCTCTGATTCTAATCATTTTGCCATTGAGAAAATGTGGTATATTATCTAAGAAAATATTTGTTTGTTCAAGTTTAGAACACAGAAACATTTGCAAGGGGCATTTCCAGAGGGGAGATGCTTTCATTGTATGTGCCCCAGGTTTGCAGCATTTGTGTTGATAAGCAAGACAGCAGAACACTTTTCTGTGATGTATTTATTTTATGTCACTGAGATTTCGATATGTTTCTCAGCCATTTCATCTTGGTGTTATATTTCTCTCTTCACCTACAAAGCACACTACATTTACAGTGACAACAAAATTAGTCTTTACATTAGTATTGCTGACATACAGCAAATACAATGTAGCCTTGCACAAAATGTCAACATTATACTTCTCATCATATTTCTGGATGTGACTGAACCTTCAGTTTGCTTAGACACGTATAGAAACTGTAGCTACAGTTGTTAAGTTCTGTAGCTAGTTCTTTAAAATGTTACACTTAAAAATTGGAGTTGGGAAGCAACAATGACCCTCAGAAACTACAGACAATCTGCCAATCAAGCACCCATTAGCCTTATCTTAAGCCTTTTGCATTCATTCATGTAAAACCTTGCCCAAATGATACTGTAATTTGATAATTGTCTATTTTTGGAGCCTTTCATAGGTCTTTTTTATAATGGAAATGCTTTCTCATTTAGGGTGATTAATATGTCCTTTTTTCACAGTTTTATTTAAATTATTTCATATGGTTGTAAATGTTGATTTTAGAACAATAATATCAAAGTCATACCAAATATTTTTTGCCTTATGTTCTGTGTGTGAAGCACAGAGTTCGAAGGATTTCACAGTTTCTTTCAAAACCAACCTCAAACACTAAAAACTTACTGTTTCAGAGAGTGATTTTACTGCTTGATGATGATATGATAATGATGTATTATTAGAGTTTTTGTTACAGTAAGTTGTGAAAAGTCTACAGTTTAGAAAGCTAGGTGTTTTGACCTGAAATAGAATTAAAATGTTCTATAGAATATAATGTAAATGTTATTTTGCTATATCTTAATTTTAATTAACAGTAATTTTACTGCCGTACAGAAACAACATTAATCAAATGTTTGTTACCTCTAGTAGTAGAATAGGTTTTTTTTGTCACCATGTAAATGGTCATGAATAAGTGTGTGGGTTTTCTTTCTGTGTGCTGAATGTATACATGCCTTTGTGTGTCCATCTCTGTCCATGACTGTGTGTGCAGGACTGAACATGTGTGTACATAGGAGTGAGTGAAAAGGTGAAAGGGCCAGAGATGTGGGGTTAGTAGAGGTGGACATGAGATTGGAGACAGAGCATAGCACAATGTGGAAAGAACTTAGTGAGCACACATTTAAAATAAAAATCCAGCTTGTTTATTAGACACGTTTGAGTCAAGTGTCTTTTTTTGATCCAAAGAATCACAATGTTGTGTTTGTTGCTTTTCTTTTCTGTCTTCTGCTTCACACTTTAACACTAAATGTTTTCTTCTTCAGCACCAGACTCGCTGGCAAGAATATCCACATCTGTGATGACCTGTTTCCTGGACCAGGAAGTGCCAGGACTTGGTCCGGCCCACTGCTCATGGACCATTTGGAACTTGTGCTTATCTGCACTGGGCACGGTGCCCTGCGTCCAGTCCCACTGCAGCGAACTAAAGCCCAGCAGCTCAGTGCTGAACAATGACTGGACCAGCAATGTGCTGACTCCTGCCCTGACCCACAGGCCCAGCTGCTCCTCAGCACCAACGTGTATAAATAGGTCCGTTTACTCCAGGGTCAGGACATCGTTTTTGTGGAGCCCCCTGCGAGCACGGAACAACTATTCTTTGGGGCCAGTCAGGTAAGCCCTCCATCTCAATCCATTCAGCCTTCTACAGACCATTGTCACTTTACATTTTTGTGTCTTTTGTCTTCGTTGATTCTGCTGAGCCACATAAATGTATAGACTGAGGTCAGACATGCAAACGCTTAGACATTCATTGTGCCTGCGTCAACAGCTGGCTCCATCAAGAGTGAGCATGCAGTCAGCTTCAAGAAAAACCCAAACCAATGACATGCAATAGGTCATGTGTTTTGTTATATAGGCTAAGATTCTTGAATGAAATGAATTTGTGTACTAATGTTTTAACATCATTTGCTACACTTCAAAATCTATTTCAAAAACAGGCGTAAATATGCCTGATACATGGCAATAAATGATGAAACATTAGCTGAGGCACACACTAGTTGATTTTCCTTAATAAGCCTTAAATGTGACTCTCCCTGCTGTCTGCTCTGAAGGTAAATCGGCATTGAGATACACAGTAGCATGGCTCTGAATAATCCCAACCCACTGGGACCATGGAAGGTGAGTCTTGTCATGGATGATTTAAAAAAGTAGAATACTTTTTTTTTTTTTAATGTCATGCCTGGCCTGATGATGTCGATGATGTGTGTGTCTGTACACACATCAGTGTGTGCGTGCGGCATGTGCATGCTACATGTATGCATTTGTGTCCTCTCCAGATCACAGTTTATGACCAGGAGAACTTCCAGGGGAAGCGTCTGGAGTTTACTTCAGCCTGTCAGAACATCATGGAGTGTGGTGTTGACAACATTCGCTCCCTGAAGGTGGAGTGTGGAGCGTAAGTTAAACAAGATTTTACACAAGAGAAAATTAGCTGTAGTACAAATGAACCTCTCAGTGGTTATGTTTTTAGTTAGCTACATTTGTTCATTTTGTTGTCAAGTACTATAGAAAACATCTGCCAAATATCTGATTATCAGTCTGTTTTAACTGTCTCAGTGATCCAACAATGTTGTATACATTATATATATATATATATGTATGTATGTCTGCTTGCTGGGGACAGCTGGGCAGGATATGAGCACTCCAGTTTCTGTGGACAGCAGTTTGTGTTGGAGAGAGGAGAGTATCCTCACTGGGAGTCGTGGAGCGGCAGCAACGCCTACCACATTGAGAGGATGATGTCCTTCCGCCCCATCTGCTCTGCTGTGAGTGTGCATCTCAATTCAGCCGCTTCTGTTTCCATCTATCTGACTTCTCATTTGTCTCCAGCAAAGATTCAGAGTTAAAAGCTCTGGATTTGATTCATCAAATTGACTAATTTGGGTTTAGAACCCTGGTTTCTTGTGAGGCAAGCCTAAAGAGGGTTTTATGCCAGCTGCTGGTTACAGCCAAAAATACACTGTAATACAGTGTGATGTTATGCACTATTAGAATTTGGACATCCCGCCAAAATTATAATCATGGTTAAAATTCGTCTAGTCGTTTTCCCCATCAGAAGGCTTTCTTTGGACTCTCCGACTTGTGATGATTTATAATTATTTACAATGAAAGGAAAAACAAGTAAAAAACAAATAACCCTCATCTTGTCAAAAAAGGCTTAAAAAGTGTTTGTAGTATCTACTGGTCTAACATTTGATCCTCATTTGGTAGCTTACAGTGTCAGTATTCAACACAGACAGAAAGTAAAACAGGTTCATCTCTGTCACTGAATGCATCTGTAAATGCACAACACCAAGTGCTTTGCCACAAAAAAGGGTTTGGTTTCAGTATAGTTAGATCACTTGACATTATTATTATTTGCATTATTGGTATCTCACTCCTGCTGCCTTCTACAGAACCACCACACTATACAGTAACTGTTGCTGTTTTTCGTGTTAATAACTCTGACTGACCGTATCTTTACATGCATCATGCACACTCAGAACCACAAGGAGTCCAAGATGGTGTTGTTTGAGAAGGAGAACTTCATGGGACGCCAGTGGGAGATAAATGATGACTACCCCTCTCTGCAGGCCATGGGCTGGGGCAACAATGAGATTGGATCCATGCAAGTTCAGAGTGGCGCGTAAGTGTCAACCTCTGCACACAGACAGATCACCTCCTTACAGGCTTCTGCCATGTGAATACTGTCAATAATAAATATACTTAACCCATAAGGAACAATGATAGAAAACTTAGTATAAAATACTGCTCATGCTGCTGACTCTATTCTATGCATCATTTTTTGAACTTTATTGCTGCTGTGACAATAAAGTTAATCCTATCTTATGTTCCAGTCTTTACTTGACTAACATAATAGCAATACACAAAGCAGCTTTAAATGTAATAAAACATCAGTTTGTTACATTGATGAGGGCAATTATTTTCAGATTATAATAATTTCCAACAAACCAGAGGTATGTATAGATTAAATGATTTAAATCATTTAAAATGACTGGCCTAACTTGAGTTTGTCATATTTCACATTTTTTGAATGTATTCTGTGACATGCTCACAGTGACAGTTTGAAAGAGGCCTATTGTATTTAACTGCTGCCTTCTTCTCACATTGTTTTGAATCAAAAGTGCATTTCATATCTTGTACACTATATCTCTTACTGTGTAAATCACATATTTATCATAAAACACTCCTTTCCTCTGCTCCTCCACACCTCCCTCTCTCCTCCTCCAGCTGGGTGTGCTACCAGTTTCCAGGTTACCGTGGTTACCAGTACATCATGGAGTGCGATCGTCATGGCGGCGAGTACAAACATTACAGAGAGTGGGGCTCCCATGCTCAGTCCTTCCAGGTGCAGTCGCTGCGTCGAATCCAGCAATGAGACCTGCAGCCTCCTCTCCCAACCTCTCACTCTTTACCTCCTCCACCTCCTCCTCTTCCTCTTCCTCCCTTCACCCAGTCATTCCAGCGCCTTCTGGTGCTTTACCATCGAGATGTTCACAGCAATTTTGTTTAGTTCTGTTGCCAAATGAAAGTAAAGAAAAAAGATGGAAAGAATTAAGAAAAGAAAAAAACAGCCACTGAAGAAAAGCTCCTGACTGATGCCCCACTGAGGAGAGAAGAGGAGGAAATTAAAAGGCCTCATGGCGGCAGCAGGGTGGTGATGTCACTCAGAGTCAACATGGTGCTACCAGTGATCAATAAAGAAGGAATGGGCAACTTAAAATAAACAGAAAGACAAGAGTCTGCTGCTAAGCTCCATGGTGCTCAGTTGTGATTTATTTTTCATTGCTTTTGGGAAGTTTTATGTTGCAGTACAATTACACTAAGACTTTCTCGTGTTTGGTTGTGACCATTTAGAGCCAAGAGATACCATGTTCATATGACATGTTGGTTTATATAAACTGTTATCCTTGCTTCATACCGTAAACATAACATGGTGCTTACAAGTCCACATCAAGCCTTACATAATAAAATATGAGGCTATTTTGAGATATGAAAACAATGCACTCATAAGCATCACCAACATGTAGTTAGTTTTTGGTGAGAATACCATCCTCTTTGACACAGAATAAACACTTAAATCTAAAATGAACAAAGTTTAATTTTCAAAATCCATTTACACAATAAAAGCCATTTAATACAAGGGACTATGGTTTCCTGATAACAGTTAACAGCATAAGATAACAGCAACAATAAGAAAACCAAACACTGAAATTCATTTTCACTTTCTATGTAAAGAGCAATTTGTCACCTAACTGAATGACTAACTCAGTAAGCTTATCTTTAAACTGCACAAAATAAACTTCATAAGGGAGAGTTTTTTTTTCCCTCAGTGCCATTTATTATTTGGCTCATATAGAGGTTTTCATCATACATGACAGCTTCATTATTTCAACAGGCACCAAGAAACCAACTCTAAACCTGAAATGATTAGCTGCAACAATAATAACTGATTAATCATCTAAGCCAATTTTTAAGCTAAAACAACAAAAACTCACTGATACCATCTTCTCAAATGTGAATATCTGTTAAAGTGTACATATTTGGGGTTTTCACTGTAAAACAGATTGAGTATGTTCACTTGGGCTTCAGGGAATATTGATGGGCACTTTCCACTTCTGTGATATTTTAAAGACCAAACAATCAATCATTTTTCAAGAAAACAATTGTCAGATCTATTGATAATGAAAGTAATTGATGGTTGCAGCCTTACAGTTCTCCTGTGATGGAATAACACTACTTTTCACGAGGCTTCCTGTGTGTTGATTACTTGACAGACAAAAATGGGTGCAGTTTGATAAAACACAAGTGGGTGCAATATAAACTTAAACAGTTATGGTGGTTGTGGACAGTTATGGACTAATCAAATGTGGACCCAAACAATATGGAGTGAATCTGGGGTTTAGTGTCGCAATTAAGGTCGAACTCCACCGGTCCACCTTAAAACGCGACGTCATCGTTGTAGCCCCGCCCCGGTGAGGTGAGAGGAAGTAGATGGAAACAGACAGGCCGGACCGACAACAGAAATACGTCTGTCGCTGGGAAGCAAAACAACTCACAAAACAACTGACCCTGGCGTTTGTTGTTCTTTAATTACAAAGTCCGGATGGTGTAGACGCAGAAGATACATCAACATGGCACACACTTGGGAGCATCTCTCGACGATGCTGGAACTACGGGTGTCACTTTTCTTTCTTCTCTGTCTTCTAATCTCCCCCGGTGACGCCAGGCTACACCGGCCACGACGCCTCAGCCCTACCACGGAGGAAACGGTAGAAACTTATAACAAATACTACAATTACGTTGAGCTAACCGGACGTTTACAGTCTTTAGCCCAGAAATACCGTCACATAGCCAACCTGTCGAGCATAGGTCAGTCTGTGGAGGGCAGGGAGCTATGGGTGATGCGGATCACCAGGGACCCCAACACAGACTCACCCGGGAAACCGAAATTTAAATACGTCGGAAACATGCACGGCGACGAAACCGTGTCCAGGCAGGTGTTGGTGTACCTTGTGGAGAACCTGCTGACTAAATATGGGGATGAACCGCGCATTAGTGAGCTGGTAAACACCACGGATATTTACATTATGCCCAGCATGAACCCTGACGGTTTTGAGAAGTCCGTAGAAGGGGACTGCAATGGCGACAACGGGGGTCGAAGTAATGCCAAGAATATGGACCTCAATAGAAGCTTTCCTGACCAGTATGACGGGACTACTGTCAGTCCAGATGAGGTACCCGAGGTCATGGCTTTGATCAGATGGATCCAGGAGAAAAAGTGAGTTCTTATCCTCCCATGAAACATACAAAAAACAAAGTTTCCTTTTTGTTGAGTTTCCTATTGAGGCCCGATTGTCTGAAGCACGGGTTAGAATAGCTTCACTAAACTTCACTTATTTCACTTTTGGTCAATGTTTATCACGCAGTGGAGGATTTGGAGTGGCTGACTTTCCTGTCAATGAGCAACTTAATTCTTTGTTTCCTTTTGTTTTAAGACCTCAGGGGCAGGAGGTGTGACCCAGTAATGGACTAGTCAACTAATAGAAAACTAATCTGCAGCTTTTCTGATAATCAGTTTATTAATTATTAGTATTCTTAGGTTATGTGCTGACGATTTCAAGACATCAACTTGGGCTTCAGGAAGTTGTGGACATTTTCACTATATTCTTAGCTTACATCTTATAGACAACATGATTATTGAAAAATAAATAAAATAAAGTAAATATTGGTGGGCATCCTGGCAGCTTTACGATTAGAGCCCTTACCATATAAATGCAATGTCCATTGTTTGATTTCAGATGGCAGCCTTTTTTTAAAGCCAAAAAATCTTTAAAAAAAACTAATGGCTGATTAATTGATAAGAGAGAAACAAACATTTTAGTCAGTGAGTAACTCAGTTTCCCCCTGATTTCCTTCTTTATTAGAGCCTCAGGGGGCATTAGTGTGAGACATAACAAAGTCGACAAGGGCTGCTGTCCTGGGACACCATAATAGCATGATATTTAAGACTGAAGTTTATTTGGAAGACTAGGGAACAACCCTGCATGCACACAAATGTTCATCCAGTTAAAGTGCTCTTGTCGGCTCCAAGACTGCTCTGCAGTAAGGGGAATTTCCCTCTCTATTCTCACACTACATTACAGTATTGATTCCTGTGATAACCAATAGCACAATTCTCACCTCATTTCTTTTTAAAGGACAATGTTTTTTTCAAGTTTCTTTTAAATACAATACATGCCCATATGTACACAGATGCCACTCTAATGTCAAAGCTGAGGGTTAAAATCCTTGTTTGGTCCTTGTTCTATGTGACAATGTATTCTGAAATGATGTCAATCTCTCCTTTGAGGCTGCTATTAAAATTTGCCATTGTCTCTAGATTTGTGCTGTCAGGGAACCTGCATGGTGGCACGGTGGTTGCCAGTTACCCTTTTGATGACTCAGCCCTCCACCAGCGACAGGGCCACTATAGCCAGTCAGAGGACGACAGCCTGTTTCGCTACCTCGCCCTGGTGTATTCCCAGAACCACCCAGTGATGAAGACTGGAGAGCCAAACTGTCCCGATGCCCTGGAAGAAACTTTTAAAGATGGCATCACCAATGGGGCACAGTGGTATGATGTGCCTGGTAAGATGATTCCATTTTTATTGTTTTAATGCCTAGTTTAGTGATTGACAACAAATAATTGTTGAATCTTGTGAAAACCTGTTGTAGAGAGGATGATTTGTCCAGTCATTGCTTTTTATTTTAAGGTAAACAGCAGTGAAGTAAAACCCATCTTAAAAGTACTTGATATCTTCTCATTTAAAAGTCAAGAATGTGCTGTTATATGCTGGAGTTTTTTCAGCATATGAGGGTTTGGCCAAATACAAGCTACAACCTGTTTTGATAAAGCTCAGGAATAGATTATTACAATGCCCTTTACACTTGCTTTAGCACAACTTAAGCTATTTCTATCACAGGGTTTGCTCCCACCAAAGATCACATTTCACATTTCTGGGCAGAGTAGCTTTAGTCCAGAAAACAACCTGAACTAGTTTGCTTACCAAAGCTGCTTAGAGGCAGCATCCAGTAGCTTTATTTCCTCATTAAATACGCTCAGTTGACAGACAAAGCAAAGTTCATTGTTACTGTGAGTGCTTTTACACTTCATATAACTGCATTGTTCAACTTGTGATAGACAGTTTTAATACCGTAAGAGTAGAATTGGCTGATGCTTCTTACTCAATATTGGTAATTGGTAATGACCCAATGATTATTTCAGTCTCAGTTTTTTCAGTCAGTGAAGCACTGAAAAGCGCGGCCTGGTTTGGGGTTTTCCAGGTGTCAAACAACTATTAAATGCTTTGCTCAGGTGACTCTGCTCATCCTGTTTTTCATCCTGTAATTACTGAAAGTGTTAGAGCAGTAGTCAGGTTTACTATTGCACTGTGCTCATATGACAGCTTACTCTGGGCAAGTTAATGCCCATGGGCTGTTGGTTTAAATCTCCTTCCTTGTCTTATACTCTATACAATGTGTGTCCATGTCCTCTGAAGGAATGCATTTTCTAACTGAAGTAAATGCAGCTTGTGTTGGTTCCCCAACTTCTACCATTCATTCGGGTTGAGAACCAGGACTTGAGAAAATGTGCTTTGTTGTCGTAAATTTCAGATTTCAGGGAAGGGTTATGCACCTTGCAATCTGTGATGTCCGACAGATTAGCCTGCATTTGCCCCTGTCAGATTACTAGAGTAACGCATAACTCTTCAGAACTAGCACTTCTTTTACTCTTATGTCATTTCTCTCCTTACTTCTCTTTCTAATGTGTTAGATGTTTAGTACGTACAAGTCTTAATTTCATTACTCTATTTGCAGGTACCATTTATTGCTCCC